GACGACGTGTAAATAGCTTGAACAGGTACATGCCAAACTGTTGAAAATTATTATTATTATTATTATTTATTATTGTTTTTGTTGTTATTGTGTTGTTGTCGTTGTTGTTGTTGTTGTCGTTGTTAATTTTGTGTTGTTGTTGATATTGTGTTGTTGTTGTTTGTTGTTGTGTTGTCGCTGTTGATGTTGTGTTGTTGATGTTGTGTTGTCGTTGTTGATGTTGTTGATGTTGTGTCGTTGTTTGTTGTTGTGTTGTCGTTGTTGTTGTGTCGTTGTGTTGTCGTTGTGTTGTCGTTGTGTTGTTGTTGTGTTGTTGATGTTATCCAGAGGTTATGAATCAAATGCTTTATTGAGCCAGTGCCAAATGGAGAAGGAACCTTTTTTAAATGTTCCAAATCGATTTCGAAATTAAAATGTCTTGTAGAATTAAACCCTGAAGAGAAATTTTTTCACTGTGTTGAAAATTTCTTTAAACTACATACACTTAAAAAGAGGAAAATCTCAAAGGATCCTAACGAGAAAAATAATCAATTTTATTTCATTTGCTAAAACGTAAATTATCTTTTAAATAATTTACAAAATAATTATTTAAATTGTACTTAATGAAATCGCACAAACAAACAAACAAACTAAACAAACACCAACCCAATAACATCAACGACATTATACCTAAAAATTCAACAATAAGAAAAAGTACTCTAAATTAAACAATGAAAAAAAACTTAAAAAAAAAAAATTCAGATATTTACCCAAAGGGACGAAGAGATGGTGCTGTAGGGTGAAGTTATCTGAAAAAGCGTAAAGACACTGTCGGTGGCAAATGCCCCAAAGGCCTCTAGACATCGGCTCATCAACATACACGGGTTCTACTCCAGCTGTCAGCTCTACAATTTCTGTCGGATGACTTCCATGCCCAGCCCTTTCGGATTTTTGATCGTCATTGTGGTATGATTCTGCGGAAAGTCTGTAGGGATGTCTTTCCTTGATGTTGGGATCGGTCACCAGATCCGTGTTCTCCAACCAATGTTGATCCAGGAATCCAATTCCGCTGAAGACCGGAGCTAATTGGATGACTATCAAGTTGAAGACAAATGTCTGACCTGCCATGTTTTTTTTTTTTTGTAAAATTTTTCAGCTCTTCGTTATATTATAACTTTTTTTTAATTCAAATAAATTTTTTTTTGAGATTTCAAACGAAGGATTGCAGTTCTTATTTAAAAAAGTGATCCGTTTGGTTCGGCCGGCTGACTCAAATTATTTGATTCAAATTTTTAAATTTTTGAAGGTCGCTGTTTTGATCTTATGGAACATTTTAAATGTTTTTATAGCGGTTTTCCAACTGCATCATAGGATGTTCACATACACAAACACGCGCACACACGCACGCGCACACGCATACATTTAAACAACCCTATACACACATTCTAAAAAAACAATTTGAGTTTTATAATTGTTTCGAAACAGTCAAACCTGCCGGATGTTAAAGGATGACGAAAATAATAACAATGATCATGCTTATCGGCATCATTCATCAATCATTCTATCGACCAATAGAATTGAGGTTGTAGATTATCCGAACTAACTATCACAAACCAGTCAACTTAAACATCAATGATACAGTATCAATGGAAGGCAGAGGAGAAAGGCGGTTGGCTACTTTTAGAGGCCAAGGCTTGCAGTAGATAAGATGAGTGAGTTAAAGAATTTCAACTGACTATCCTAGCAATTGGATATACATATAAGAGGAATAACATTTCTTTGCTGATTATGTGTATGTATGTGTATTTTGTGTGTGTGTGTGTCCAAGTGTGTGTGTGTATGCATGTATGTGTGTGTGTGTGCGTGTGTGTGCGCGTGTGTGTGGTCATAATTACTAAATATGTTGATCTATTTACTGTTTTATTCATATAACCTCTATTATTTTTGTGTCATTCGACTGTTTCAACTTCACTCCTCCATTTATCTGCATTCTTTCTCATTTCTTTCATTCGTTTATTTATTCATTCATTCATTCATTCATTCATTCATTCATTCATTCATTCATTCATTCATTCACTCACTCACTCATTCATTCATTCATTCATTCGCTCACTCACTCACTCCGTCAGCCTTTCATGAATTGTTTTGACACTTTGAGATAGATTATGCACTCAATTGAACCACACACACATTTGCACACACGCACACATGCATACACAGATATCACACACATATACGTACACACATACATACACATACATAAACCAAACACATACACACACATACTTAAACCAAACACATACACACACATAACACGCACACATACACACACAACATACATACACACACAACATACATACACACACAAAACACGCGCACACACACACACGAACACACACGCACATCCTTTTGTTGATACCATTCAAAGGTAATTATGAGTTTTGCATGAAATAAAATATGCAGATAAACAAACAAATAAATAAAAATAATATCACCATTTTAATACTATTTATAACAACAATAATGATAATAATAATAATAATAATAATTAATAATAATAATAATAATAATATTAATAATAATGCCACCATATTCCTGGCTTGTCCTAACTTCAAATGAAACTTGCAATATCAGATAACGAACAATTAAATTGAACCCAATCAAAGTGTGTGTGTGTGTATGGATGTGTGTGTTTGTGTGTGTGTATGTGAAAGAGATTTTGAGAGAGCGTATGTGTGTGAATGTGTGGGTGGGTGTGTGAAAGAGATTGTGAGGGACCGTGCGTATGTGTGTGTGTGTGTATGTGTGTGTGTGTGTGTGTATGTGTGTGTGTGTGTGTGTGTGTGTGTGTAGGGTGAAAAAGAGAAATAAAGAAATAAAGAGAGAAAAAGATAAAAAGTATGTGTATATGTGTGTATGTGATTATATTTATGTGTGTATGAAGAGAGAGAGAGAAAGAGAGAGAAAGAGAGAAAGAAAAAAAGAAAAAAAGAAAGAAAGAGAGTGTGTATGTGTGTGTATGTGTGAGAGAGAGAGAGAGAGGGAGAGAGAGAGGGAGAGAGAGAGAGAAAGTGAGAGAGAGTGTTTGTGTGTGTTTGTGGTTATATTTGATTATGACTGTTCAATTGTATCATACCAGGGCGGATTTCAGGTAAGGCCTGATGTCACCAAAAATAAATATTTCACTAGAATATAAAATTGAAAATTGAAAAAGATGAGGATGATGAGGATGATGATGATAATAATGATGACGAGGACGATGATGATGATGATATTGATGATGATGATTGTACAAATAAGCTCGTAAATATTGATAAATAACATTGTCTTGTGTAACTTCGCGCTTGGTACAGGCGAGTGAATAAATAACGTTGATGTTGTTGTTGTTGATGTTGTTGTTGTTGTTTTTGTTGTTGGTGTTGTTGTTGATGTTGTTGTTGTTGTTTTTGTTGTTGGTGTTGTTGTTGATGTTGTTGTTGTTGTTTTTGTTGTTGGTGTTGTTGTTGATGTTGTTGTTGTTAGTGTTGTTATTTTTGATGTTGTTAGTGCTTTTGTCAGGGTTGTTGTCATTGTTGATGTTGTTGTTTATGTTGCTGTTGATGTTGTTGTTGGTGGTGTTGTTGTTGATGTTGTTGGTGTTGTTGTTGATGTTGTTTTTGATGCTGTTGTTAAATTACAAAGACATTAAAAAAACACTCCAATAAATCACACCCCCTGCATGACTATCTAAATGCCTGCTCGTGCAAAAAGTTGAATTAACATTAACATCGTCCTAACAACATTAACAACAACAAAAAAACGTTGTTGTTAATGTTGTTGTTGTTGTTTTTGATGTTGTTGTTGCTGTTGTTGGTGGTGTTGTTGTTTTTGATGCTGTTGTTGCTGTTGTTGATGTG